TTCAAGTTAAGACATGCTTTCTTTTCTGTCTTATAAACCAATGCCTTGTGATTTGTGCAGAAATAAATTGTTTTATTGTGTATCAGCCATCTGTTTGAGACTGAGGGGAAGGATGTGTGGTAATCTCAGATCAAATATTAGGAGCAGCTGAGCAGCCAAACAGACAATCCTCAGGGCCTTCTTATTAGGTGTGGGTAAGTATCCAAAGTTTGGGTGTCTGTCAGTACTCTTGAGGTTCCCATGTTTTTTCTGTGTACTACACCAGTAAATTTCACAGTCTTCCTGTTAGAAAGGTTGTAGCCTCCTGCTCCATGTTCTGCTACTTGTCTCTGGCCTTCAGGCACCCAGCACCCTGAGGGAGCCTGTGCACACACGTGCTTGTTGTGCTCCAAGCAAAGTGTAAAATGAACCATTGGCCTTGTTTCCTAGGTAAATCACAGACACATCCTCACGCAGCAGCCTGTCAGCAGGAGTGGTGTGCCTCACCCCTGCCCAGTTCAGGAGAGGGTGGTGGGTGCCCAGAGCTGGGCTCCAGGTTAGAGAACACCAGGGCCACCAGCCTGACCCTAAAAGAGATGCTCTGAAATTTGCAAAATGAAAGGTGATCCCTTCCCTGTCCTGCAGTGGGAAGCATGGTCTGTCAGCAGTTTGTGTCTCATTTGCAGAAGGCCTCACCGGGGCAGAGGAGGGAAGCAGATGGCTTTTGGTCACACTGCAAGCTAGTGTCAGATCCAAGACTACAACTCGGTTCTTGAAATCCCAGGCTCCATCCTTTGTGGCTTGCTGCCTCCTTAAGCATATATAAGATTTTAATGAAAACCACCAAATCTTAATTTAGAGCAGGATTCAAGAAAAGTGTCCTATTCAATTACTTAATTATAGGTAAACTATAATTATAAGATACAAACATGTCTTGCTACCAAGCTAAAAAGCAGAAAGGATTATTTGATGTTTAGTTTAGCAGAGGAAGGCAGCTGATGCATAAATCTATCAGACATCTAGCAAGTTGTGTGATCCTATTTGTTAATCTTTTTAACTTTTCATTTTATTAGGATAGGGTTTCAAGAGTAAATAGGATAAATGAGATTAAATCTGTCACCCTGAATTACTCTCTTCTGAGTTATGAGCAGAATCACTCTAAGTCGGAGAAGTATAATTATGAGGAAAATGCTGCCTGTGTAATTGTGTGCTTCGTTCAGAAGAATTTGAGATCCATAATTATCTCTAGTATGCCACGGTGGCATGTGCTAGCTCTTAATTTCTACAGTAAACAAAACCATTGAAGGTTTCTCTCCTGAGTAGTTCTTGATGTAGCATGGCTGGTACCCACAACAGTAGCAATATTATCCTTCGGATGTCCTCGTTCAAGTAAGGGATCAATAGAACACCCATTGTACATTTATTTTCACATCTATCTTGAACCGAAATGTTGATTGTGCAGTGAAGAATAACAGCCATGGGGAACAGAGAGTGTTCTGAGCTTTAGATATGCCAGGTGAGGCATGTCTAGCTGATTATGCAAAAAGCAAGTCATAGCACATCTGGTGCTGTATTCCATCACTTAACTTTTTGGTTTTCCAAGGATATCGCCTTTGACTTCTGCAGGTGCTCCAGCAAACACAAAGGGTGCAGCTTGCTTTGACAATAATTGAGCTGTAATAGGAAAAGCTCTGGATTAGGATTTGGTGCCTTTGCTCCTCGATGTCAGTGCACATCAGAAAAACCTGGTGGTGGTGCTCCATTATACACTGTTCTTGGCTCTACTTATTTTATATGACCCTATAAAATTTGCGCTACCCTTCATGCTATATAATTTTACTGAGATGAGTTGAAGACACAAGACTCTTGAAATTTTGGGTTCACCAAAGACAGCTTTGAATCCATGTGTTGTTTATCTAGATTCATAACAACTTCTGTTAGAAAAAGCAGCTGAAAAGTTCAGCAAGATTTGTCCCATGGATGGGCATTGTTGCTGCTGGAAGCAGATCTCCTGGAGAAAGGATATGCACAAAGTAAAAAGAAACTCACTGTAGGTCCTGCTCAGACATTTCTGCAGCTTCCTTCTTGAGGCAGAGAGTGCAGAGGGTCAGAAGTCAGACTTTTGCATGATGGATTAGTGATAAAACAACCTGCCAGATTTTGATTAGAATTTCTGTTACTTTGCCTAAAATTATCTGTGCATTATGGGAGAGGGACAGGGAGGATGCATAATTTTGGAGAATCCTTGTAGCAATTTAATTTTCTTTTTTAGACATTTTTACAGTTACGAGCCAGGACTTGATCTCCACATCTATTTCTGTCGGTCAGTCTAGTTTACAAATGAGGGCCCTTTTGTCCCATCTAATTTTATGTAATCTGTGATGCTGCATAAAGATTCTGGGAGGGAAAAATGTAAGGATTGTGAACAGACCTTCTAGCTAATATGTACAATGACTCACTCTGTCCTTTATTCCAACTTCTGTGAAATATTTTCAGATACACTATTTACCCATTAAATGAGCTGTTCAGTTTAGCTTATGGCTAAAGATTTTCCTAGTAATTTGATGTATTTGTTGGGAACATGACAAAGTAAATCACAAATGAGAATGTTAACGAAAGCTTATATTAATCATCTGAGACAGTCTCTTTCATTATAATCTTGTTCTGAATAACTAGTTATCTGTAAGAAAGGGTTTCCTGTCCCTTGATTTGCCAACTTACTTGACTTTACTGCCAAGAAAATCTCTCCTCCATGCTTGAAAAGCAATGGGTAACTTCATAATTTTCTCTGTGTAGGCAGTTTTTTCACGGGAAGAAATTAAGTCAGTCATGCCCATTACTGAATCTAATTTTACTATAATTTGGAGGGAAGAACCCTCCCCTGGGTAGAATTCATTCTATAACTGCTTATTTCAGGATTTCTTTTGCTTTCTTCCAAAGGATCTGGCAGAAACTGTTGTTAGTGACAGACCTGCAGCTTGCTTGGCAAGGTCACTGCAGCACATTTAGTGGCAAGTGAGAAACTTCTGCCTTGCCTTGGTTTTCAGTCATCGGCAGCTGCTTTGAGGAAAACGGAGCACAGCAGCAAGTCAGTATGACCTTGCTACATATTGAAATTCCAGCTCCTGGGACATGTAAGGGTCTTAAGGTACCTCATGGAGTCAAGCTGTCTTTAGCTGGGTCTGACTGAGCTAGTTCATCTCCATCAGCTTTCTCTTCTCTAAGACCTGTTCTTTTACCTGAGCTCCACAACCACATGGATGAGATCCCAAATGCAGGAGAAACACAGACAAATTCGGCTCTCCTCCACCTCTCTTAATAGGTGGTAATTTCCTGGGCCTTTCCCTGCTAAGACCAGTCCCAGGAGAAACCTCATGCTTCTGCTTCCCCTCTGCAGGCTATAGCAAACAATCCTTACTCAAGTGAGAATTATTTTTTCCTTCTCCGGTAGTCAGCCTGGGCGTTTGTCCCTGGCCATAGATATATCTTGCTCTCAGCTTTACAGTTCACATTGGTAGGATTTGCGCATTTTTTACTTGCTCCAGTCCAGTCTGATTGAAGAACAGACAAGGAAAGGTCCTTTTAAAAGTGGTTTGCAGCAATGCCATGTTAAAAGCCAAGCTGTGAAGAGGAGAGGGCAAAACAATCTCTCCCTGCCAGCTCACAAAGAAATGGGAGGAGAAAATGTGGTGCCTTCTAATGCTAGCCCCAAGAGTGTGTTTAACAGTGTCCCTTCAAGGTCAGTGACACCATTCTCAGCTGTTCAAACCAGCATATTGGTAGCAAAACCAGTGTGAATTAGATTTGGGAGAAGGCTGGGTTTTTGTTGTTTTTTTTCTTTTTCTCTGCAGGCTTCAGCCTGGCAGACAATCGGATTCAACCATAGATGTAATTCAGGCAAAATACAATCCAGAAAATGTGGGTGGATGCATGATCTAAGGAGCCACTCAGTCAGGTGTCTTACTTTTTTTCAAAGAGATTATTTGTCCCACATTTTTCCTTATTTATATTTGCAAGATTCATGAGATTGGTCAGATTTTTCCCATCATCAACCCTGTAGCACCAAACCTCTTTATGCAGAACAGAGAAGTAGATTTGGTTTAGTGTTTAGAGAGAAGCTTTAGAGAGGCTGTAAATAGCTGAGTGTATAAACAATACTTTTTATTGGGTTAAGTTGCCGGTAAGGCAGGCTGTTTTCTGCCTTGGTCCTGCCTTCCTCTGCTGATAGGAAGTGATCTTTGTAGCTTGTAGCTATAACAATTTTCATATAGCTAACAGGCATTTCTCCATCTTTTTTCCAAAGTCTCCTCCTTTTTTCTCCTTTACTCTTTATCTTCAGTTCCTCTCAGTTACCTTTGCCAGATGGACAGCAAGCTTTTCTGGTGTTTCTGAAAAGTGTTCACATGGCAGAAGCCATCTGCTTTCTTCTAGACATTGCATTCATATTCTGCTGACACCTGCAGAGCCTATGCTTGGTCTGACTAAACTTTCCCTCAAGGTGAGATTTGTAGTGTTGGTTCTGAGTATTATTTGGAGTCAAAAACCACTCAGGGAAGTGTAATGAGAAGTGAGAGTGCTTCTCTTTGTACCTGCTGTGGAGATCAGTGGTTTAAGAATCCTATTCTGCTTTACACCAGCGAAAATTGAAAGTATCACCAGCTGTAACAAGGCTATATAGAAGGTAAGCAGAAATGCAACAATGGGATGAAGCTTTTACACAGAGAAGCAAAGTGCCAGGTTGCAAATAAGGCAGTAGGGTTGCAAAGCCCTATGAGCCATGTGAACAATTGGTGCTTTCTGTGCTATGGAATAAAGCAGCTTTACAGAGGGTGTCTGCAGTGTACTTTAAATCACTGAAACTGGCTCTATGGAAATTTCTGTTGTTAAATTGTAAATTCAGCCTGGCTGCATGGCTGGTGGGGAGAGGACAAGACTACTTCTCTATGTGATGGTGGTGAATGGGAAGAAACTACGTGTTAGCAGCCAAAAGAGCCCTTACCTATAACTTCTCTTCTCCACAGGTGCCCCTGGTTGACAAAAGCCATCTCCCCAGCCATCCCAGTGTACAATGGGCTCGTGTTTTTGTTCGTACTGGCAAACTTCAGCATGGCAACTTTCATGGACCCTGGAGTTTTCCCACGAGGTAACAGAGAATGGGACTGTTGAGGGGGGGATTTGAAAACCCAAGCCAAAGGAGGTGTCAGGTATCCAAATACACTGTTTGCTGACTAATCCCCTTTTTTCTGGTATTCTTTCTTGTAGACTTTATTTATTCATTATACTCAGCTGTCAGTAGAGGTGGGATGGTAGTGAAATGCTGGATACCCTCCATCTCTCTTCTGAGCTAGGAGGGGTCTGTTGTCCTTGCACTTGCTCAGACTGGCAGTTGAGGGCACAGGGTTGCACAGAATAGTTCTCCTTGAGTAGCTCTCCTGACTGATGTTATTGCGATTGCCATGCCCTGTGTCATGCTGGCACATTGGATTTAAGTCACTGTCTTCACAATAGGTAGCAGAGCATGGTGGAGGGGAGAGGCTAAGCTTTCTGAAACAGCTTCATCAAAGCAGACCTTCCAAAAAGCCTTAAAACAAATGCAAAATGATTGAACTCTAAGAAAGATAATGATTAAGGCTTGCCTTATCCTGTCTAAAAATGTATACATTTAAAAAGATATGCCTGCTTAAATTAGTACTGATTCACAGCTGATTAAATAGGATAAAGATCACTCAGCTTTTGTAATGGGAACCACAGTGCAGCTATCTCTTTTAACACATCCTAATGAGAGAATTATCACCTCATTTTATCTGTCTTCCAATAATTATTCACATGCAGTTTGCAGCAGAGACTGCTCTAGGCAGTCTTGCTAAACCAGTGGATTTGTGCTCTCTGCAAGCTGTGCTTTCTCACTTCTATTCACTGAATTCAATATCTATTTTGAATTGCTACCTGATGAGAACAACGTACCTGTCCTGCTGGCTTCCCTGAATAGCAAGTGCCAGGTTTCTCCAGGTAGCAGCATCTAATGATGAGCATCTGTCTGCCGTTCCTTTCAGCTGAAGATTTTGAACCCCTGATTAAGTGTTGCAGTGCTCCAGTTAAGGAAATACTTGTATGTAAAGGCAAAAATAACGCAAAGGCAAGATTCAGTCATTTGTGCAAGATGAAGTGATGCAGTGTTTAGGTGCTTAAAGGTACAAATAGGTGCTAGTGAGATTTTCAAAAGAGCTTTCATGGACTTTTTAGTTCCTCCATCTCAGCAGAGATAGCAGTGGTTAAACATGCTTTGGGTCTGAGGTTGTCAAAAGCATCCATGATCTTTGTTTTTGGTACGAGGAGAGCTGGAATAAGTTGTTCAGTTTTGAAAATCTCAGTCTGGGAATCTAATACCTTTGTGCAACATAGTTCCCTCAGATTGGAGCCTGCAACTGGGCACTCACTGTGCCCTGTCAGTGATCAGTACCGAGTGTGTTGTAAATTCATACCTCTGCACTTCTTTAGCTTCCTTTTGCAAACCAGTTTTTTTATTTTGGACTTTGCACTTAAAGGAGAAACACACAGGGAGATCAAATAGAAACTTTGAAACTTTCTCATCACCTTCTCTCCCTTCCCATCTCCCTTATCACAAGGGAGTCAGGAGCAAATCAGGAAGAAGAGGAGTTTCTACAACTCACCTTTCTTCTGTCTCTGTCTCTTTCTATTAATTTGTGGCCTTATGTCTCTATGCTGTGCATGTGCTTGATCTGGAAGGGGCTGGGAGCAAGGGGAGTGGGGAAAGGATGAGAAAAGGGATGGAAGTCATCCTGGAAGAAAGTGATGGAGTAGGAGTTCAGATATATGAAGGAAGCAAATGATAAGGGAAAGAAAAGGTGGAAAAGACTATAAATACCAGTGCTGGGAGGAAAGAGGAGCAGATCTGATTTCAGATCACAAGTGCATGTGAAAAAAGCTATCACCACCCCACGCTGCCTGCAGAGCTGCCAGCGCAAGGAGTTCAAAAATTGTAGGAGTGCTTTAAAATGAATATACAGTAGATCTATTTGCTTTCTGTTATTGAAATTTGGTTTAATCTTCTTGGTTTTCAAGCTTCTTAAACACATTTCTGATAGTTATGAATTTACTTCAAAACCAAAACAACAAAAGCAGTACAAAAGCTGAGATTCTAATGAAATCACATGATTTCTGTAAGGAAGCCAGCAAAAATCATAAGATATGTTACAAAAACACAAGAGTTGGCTGCCCTGTGTCAGTGGATCAGAGTAGGAGAATCTGTGTAGTAAGATACATTCATCTGCCAATGTATTGTTCTGCTCAGATCACTGAAAGCTGGAAATAATCACATTTCTAGCTGTATCATATGAGTTTACAGGTTCTCTGGCAGAGACGACATGGGCTATGGGGGGAGTAAACCCAGTTCACTCTTATATTGTTGAATTACTCATTTTTTATTAATTTCTTATTTTGTTGGCTCTCTGAATGTTTCTGGTATGAATCAGTATTGGCTCTGTGTGAGTGAGTTGCCAGTAATACAATAAAATGAATGAGAAGGAAAGCAAGTATTAAGTCACTGAAATTTGGGCTACCCTGGCAAATCTGATTTACAGCCTGGGTTGAGACTAGCAATGTTCGTTGCTAGCTAATTATAGATACCAACTAGTAACTGGCATTCAGTATTTTTGATGTGAATCTATTTTATACAAGCTCTTCAAGTGTGTGTCAATTCTGCAAGACTAATGTGTTTATATGCAAGTAGGTATATATAGTGTACAGACTTTTTGTCTGCATAGTAATTTTTTTTACAATAGCTTAAATGGTTTGACTGTTCTAGTGTCTTGTTTTCATATGCCCACATGTATTATACTGCATGTGTTAGTTTATAATAGTATTGAAGAACCTACCAATTGTATTTATAGAAGTGCCTAAGGGATTTAGAGTCTAGCTTTCACTAAGAGTCCCACTGACTAGTTATGAAGGAAAATTATAGAGAATTGTACCAGTACAGCACTCTACTTCCACACAGAAATGTTAATCCAGAGAATACTCTTGCAAGGTAAATACTGTAGCTGAGCCAGATCCCAAACTCATCTAAGTAAAGGGAGAAACTCCCTCTGAAGTCAATGGAAATTGGATCATGATAACATATTTAGAAAAGATTTAATATAGAACTAAATGACAGTGATTGATGCTCCGCTGGGACAATATTATCAAATTTCACCTAATTTGGAGCCAGTCAAGCAGTGCCAGCTGCACTATAATGTTTAACCAGGTGTTAAATAGATGTGAACTTCTTAGATTTTCTCTGTCAAAAGGAAATAAATAAAAATGACAGGAATCTAGAGTAAAAGATGAACTTCTATGAACGTCATTCTCATTATTTTCCTCTTCTTCCCGATATATATTTGTCTATTATAGACTGACTTTTATTTTGTGCACTTATTTTTAAATGGCCTCTTTTCTTAAACAGGGAAGCGCTTAGCTGAGATGATAAGCCATCTGCCCTCCGCGTTGTCCCTAATAAGATGACTGCGATATTGTCATCCTCATCTTACTAATGGCAAAGAGAGGCTAAGTGACTAGCTCAAGGCCACAGAGTGAGAAAATTAGAATACAGGACTTCCTGACACCCAGTCCTGTGCTCAGATCAGTAGACCATGCTGCCTTTGAGAGAGGTGAGATCTTCCCAGTTATGTACTGTTACTAGAGCAAGAGTGTTCTGGGTATGAAGAGGTGAGCACGGGATGTACTATAAAGAAGTAAGAACTGGTTCAAGGGCTTGTGGGGGCATACAAATTGCTTCAGAATGGTATATCTCACCGTGGCATCAGACTCCCTGGGGCAACAGGTCTATGGGATGATTGTGAGCTCACACTAGAGCGCTGAACAAATTGTCACTCATGGTCATCTGGGTTGATTTCTGGGGTTTGAGCTAGTACAACCTCCTTCTATCTGTTGATGTAATTTATTTGACTTTATGTGCTGGTAGGCTAGCATTGAATTAATCCCAAATGCATGCAGCAGAAATTTTCACAAAAAAGGCTTGTGATTTCCATCCCCTCTTTGACTGTAGTTTGCAGCTCATTTTATTCATCCTGGTTGTAAATGCTGGCTAAGACTCAAACACCTCTCTTTGTCCAGGGGCCAGTAAGGCTGCACAGCACTCATATGGGAGATGTTAAAATGAGCCCTGATCACTGAAGTGTTCTGCAGCCCAGACAACCTGTTCTGACAGTCCATCACTTCCATCACTCTCTTATTTCTCTGACAAGCCCAAGAGCACACACAGTGTCCCTGTATCCAAGGCACTGAGTGGATTAGCTCTGTTGTCTTTTCCCTCTGTTACCTCCACTAACTTTTAATTTTGCATTGAGCAGCAGATGAAGATGAAGATAAAGACGATGACTTCCGAGCTCCACTCTACAAGAATGTGGAGATTAAAGGAATCCAAGTACGGATGAAATGGTGTGCCACCTGCCACTTCTACCGTCCTCCACGCTGCTCTCACTGCAGCGTCTGTGACAACTGTGTTGAGGTAACAGTTCTGTTGATTATGTGATCTCCCTCAGTGATGGGTTGCACATACTCTGGAAACATGCAGCTGGGTTCTTCCCTGGTATTTCAGTCCTTGGAAGTTCCCAGCTGTAGTCTTGTTGATGGATTCCTACTAATTAGTACCAATTGAAACATAGCCCTCAGTTATGGTATGTGTTACATATGCAATAAAGTTTGATGTCAGCCTTGTTGCCAGTGATAATTAGAATAAAAAATTATAATGCTGGCTATGTCTTCCTTGAAGTAGCTGAGAGATCAGCTAAAAGCCGAGTGTAAAAAAAGGATGAATTGAAGAGTTGATGCAGAAGCAGAGTTCAGGTGAGCAGGAAATTCAGAGTGAACCATTGTAGATTGTCATGTGTGAGTTTAGGGCTCACCATTTAATTTGGAACAAACTGGTGCCTACATTAGTGGACAAGCAGAGATGCTAGAACAGTGTGTGAGCTTCAGGAAAACCAAACTCAGAATTCAGTGAGTGGTTCTCCTGTCAGTGGAAGGACCCCGTGTTTGTTTCAACACCCCAGCTCAGAGCATGAACTCATTCATGTTTCTAATATTGGTCACTCTGAATTATGGGATTTTTGTGTTTCTGGACAGCCCTACAGTCTTGGTGAGGCACACAGGATTTTTCTAAAAAACACCCCAAACAGTAAGATGTGCTTTTGGGCTATAAACATTTCTCAGATCTGTAAGTACAGAGTGCTATATCCACAGCAGTGTATTGCCATGGGGAATTTTTTATTGCTGAGCTAAAAATTCCACTTCTTAAGGAACATTTCTGCTGAAAGGTCTATTTTTTTTTTCAATAGAAAAATGAAATCTTTAGTATGTCTAAAATATATTCATCTGTGCCATTAAAATGAAAGGAATTACTAATTAGAAAAAATACCAGAGTCAGCTGGAATGCTGTATACACCGTCTTTGTCCTAATCCTCTTTGCCATAAGCAAGGAAATAGTTCCAAAGAAAGCAGCACAGGCAGGGTTTATCTTGTGTCAGTCATTTTCTTCTTCAGGGCAGTATATATCTAAGTTATAACTATCTGGAAGCAGTGCTGTGCCTAGTAACCATCAATATATAGGACAAGGCTATCCTGTTGTGGAAGGCCTTAGAAGGATGTAGGATTTGAGAGGATGGAGAATAAGGAGCTGCCAAGGTCCCTCAGTAGAGGGGAGTAGACACAGCTATTCATAAATTGTGTCACACGATTTCCTTAGACTGCTGTGAATTGTTGAATAGAGCTGGATTTTTTGTAGAAAACCTGAGTCATATATTCCTAGTTTAAAAACATAAATGTTTTCACTAATTCTAGACCCTGAGGATTGTTTAGATGATGGTAAATTCTCAGTTGTCCCGTAAAATTTCTTTATTCTGCCCTCCCTAGTGGCTCAGGATGAAAATTAATTTTCAGCAAATTAAGTTTTCTCAGAAAAAGATTACTCAAAACTCACTGGTATAAACACTTGCAACTTCATGCTGCCATAAGGCCTCCATGAGAGTCAGTTCTGCAGCAGAAAATAAAATGGGAGAGCATCCAAAAGTAGCCTAAATAAAATAGCAGAATGCAAGGTGACTCTGCCTAGCTCTCCAGAAATTTTATTGATGGTTAGATCAGTTGAATGTTCCTTACTATTCTTGTGGGCAAGTAAGAAGCTCTGCTTGTATAATTAAATTATGACTGCTGCGGAGGAATATAGGTAAAAAGCATTAATGATTTCTGAATCAATAAATCATGGTCTTAAACAGCATGCTTTATTGATTCTTGTGATACTTAATTCCCACTCACCTGTCTATTCTAGAAAAAGTTGGAGACAATGATAGGAGTGACTCTACTGGCTCCTTTGTGTGCAACCCATTCAGAGTTGTAATTCACATCTTTTCACTTTCACTCTAGAATGTGCAGTAAAAATTATAAAATATAAAACTTTTGAGATAATTTGATAAAAATGAACAAACAACAAAAACCAACAACGCTTGCAGAAATAAAATCAGTTAACACCTAAAGCCTGCTGTGACCAGAGGGACCCAAACATGAATCTGTGACAAAAGTAGTCAGATTTTTGTTTTCTTTACTGAAGTGTTTGCAGTGGGTGCTTACATAGTTTCATAATGGATAGATATTTGGGGCTGCGTACAACCAGATTTGCATGATAGACATATGCTATGTCAATGTTTCAGATATAGCCCGAAATTATCTTTATTAAATTGCCCGTGTCATTTTCTAATGTGCTTTGAGAAAGTTCTAATGCATTTTCTTGTATTTTGTAAATTTTTGGTAAATACATTGTGCAAAACTTACAAATACAAAGCCCCCTTTGTCATCATTGAGGAACATTTGAAAATAGCATTACCACAAAACAAAGAATAAAAGATTCATTTGTTGATGTAATAAGTGTGTAATATCTGTTCTGAAGAATGCAGAACCAAAAGGGTTTATTTATTGCACCTGATCTTGTCTTCATATCAAGAATAATCCTATTGGAAACAATGGATTTACATGCTTATCAAGCTGTGTGAAGACTTGAAAGGTGTCTGTGGCTTGCCCTCATTATTAAATCTCCTGTTAAAAGGGATCTGACTTTATGAGGGACTTTGAACTTTTGACTGAGAGAAATAGGTAGGTTTGGGTTCATAACTGTTAATAAACTTGTGTAGAACTTTGCCTGTGTCTTGTCTAGATGTTGCTTTTCTCTGAGGACCTGCTTGGTAAAAAAGTATCTCTTGTGAGGTCCATTATTAATTCAGCTTTGTGTAAATACAGAAATGTGAGGCAGAGAATTCTGCAGCAGTATTGCATCTTCAAAACATTCTGGGTTATGAGAACTTAGTTGTAATTGACTCTTGGTGCTAAGGACGATAAAAAATTAGTGCTTCTGCTGCTGTGAGATAAATAGACTGTCTTTTATTTGTTTATATCCTCTCTTCAAACCCTATAAACAGTCAAGTAGCTCTCCATGAATAGATACAGAAACCACTTGCTCCTAAGAAGAACTTTCTAAAGAGTGTAGCATGTTGTAAAGGTGCAGAACTAGCCTGATCTAATTTTACATTATGATGGTTCACATTTATATCTAAGACAATGTATTTCCTTTCACCGTTTGGATATTCCCTGTCTCTCCATTTCTTTACAAGGATTTTGACCATCACTGCCCATGGGTCAACAATTGCATAGGACGGAGGAACTACCGCTATTTTTTTCTCTTCTTGCTGTCCTTAAGTACACATATGGTTGGAGTATTCACCTTTGGGCTCATCTTCGTATTAAACCATATGGAAAGGCTGGGAGCAGCTCATACTACCATTACGTATCCTTTTTGGTCTTTCAAGACTCAAGGTGGCCTTGAGGAAAATGTGAAAGAATGAACCTGAATATTTGTGTTCCTGGAAGTGGTGAAGATCTACTCCTCTCCTGATCTCCCATTGCTCTTCCCCTGTAAATGCTTAGTGCAGTTTTTCCTCTGTACCCATCTGACCTGTATAACAGTCAATTACCCCCAAAACTATAGCTGACCTTGCATCTTTCACAATCTTTGCCATGAAAACTCAGCAGAAAGATATGCTGCCTCCCCAAATTTTACTTCCAATTGGGTGTGACTCTAAATTTCTGGGTACTATTTATTGTATTTAAAACTCTGTTACTGTATTTTAAAGCAGAGTTTTCCCTGGAAGCAATTATCGTGGTGTAATACACAAACCTCTGGCTCTGAGGGGTGCTACCCCTGTTGATAGATTAGTGCAGAGCGATCTTTACAAGGTGGTTAGAACTAGAATGAATGACATTATTTTTTAACCATCTCAAGGGTAATGACCCAGGCTAAGAGCAGATGGACTTAACTTTGCGATAAAACTTATTTAGACCTAATTAAAGGTGAAGGACACCCTACCTGTTTCCAAGATATTTTTTTTTTTAATATGCTTTTCATCTGCCTCTCATTCATAGCCCCTTTCCCCCTTCATTCATCCCAGTTTCTTTAACTCCTGGATACAGAATGGCTGTCATGTGTGTGGCTGGGTTATTCTTTATTCCAGTCATTGGTCTCACTGGCTTTCATATTGTTCTAGTGGCCCGAGGGCGCACAACGAATGAACAGGTAAGAAGCAATCCCTTCTCTGTGTTTGTGGCTAAGATGTTGAGTTAGGAAGGAAAGTCAACAAGTCAGCTTTGGTAAATCAAAAAATGATCCAAATCTTAGTAACAGTCTTACAAGCTTTTGTGAAATCTAGGAAGACTGCCTAGATTTTTATTTTCAGATTTTTTTCTTGAACGCACTACAAGCAAAGATTTCCCCCTTTTAACCACAAAGGATCATCCGAGGCTTATTTACCATTGAAAATTTACTCATGGCCTTGAAATAGGTTTTATGTGGTGAGTACCATTAAGCCCAAAAGTTCAAACTTTATGAGTCAGACTGAACAAACTACGAGATTGAAAGAAAGAAAGGAAAGATTAAATCATGCTTTTGCCCTGTCTCCTGATATTTCGAACTCCCTCAGCTAACCCACACTGCACGTAATAAGGTTTGAGCTAGCTCTTTGTCTCTCTCTTGTTCTCATGCGTATGTGCACACGCACACAGAGAGGCTATTGGACCTAAGTTGTTTTGCTTCTCCAAACCAAGTGTCAACATGACATCTTCTGCCAAAAGCAAGCCTGTAAAACTTTAGTTCACCTGCAGTTACTCAAATGTGTATAATCCACAGCCCTATCTGGGTGATCCAGACCTATATGCATATGCATATCGTTAGCATGATACGTGTGATAGAGATCTAGTCATGGGATCAATAGTATGCCCCTGCCATTTGTAAGGGTTAGCTCAGTTAGGAAGCTTGTCACTGGGTCACACAGCATGCCAGTCAGCTGCACACAGCATTTTCATCTTTCTTCCCAAGGCTAATTAATTGTGTGCATTCCAGTGCTTTACCTTTTCACAGATCTGGCTCCGAAGCACCCCTCACACATCTGGATTTTTCTCACTTCTTTTTCCACATCACACTTCTTTTTCACGTTTTTTTTTTTGTTTGTTTGTTTGTTTGTTTGTTTTTCAAAATGCATTTTTTGCTGCTCTGGCATCTATGGGCACTCTCTATCTCATGCTGAGCAGTGTGCTGTTCTGGCTGTCCTGCAGGCTGATGGTTTCATGCTTATGGAGTTTATATGACTGCTGTGCAGACTGTAAGAGCTGAAGACATCCGTCTGAGGTCAGGCCTTTGTAAAGTGGGATGAGATTGTCTCCTGTCCCACATGAGACAATACAAACTTTTATCCAGAATAGTGTGGGAGGTTTACATAAGCAAAGAATCTGAGGTCATCCTGTATTGTTGCCTAACATGGTCTTTAAACAAAGCAGGCTTACCATAGCTGTAAATCTTTCAATGCTTTTCTCTGTCCTGCTTGGAATCGGCTGCTCTTCATTTTAAAATTGATTTGGCCAAGTATTAGGTTTGATAGTGCTAACAATAGTAGCATGAAACCCAGGACATTTTGGTCTCATAGCCCAAATCATGATCTGCCTTAGGCTTGTCTTTCTGCAGTGATGAAAACTGTCTATGAAAATTTTAAGCTGAGGAGGAAGGAAAAATTTAAATCAAATTTATAAAAAGTAAAATTTAACTTCTTGTGTTTGTGGCTACGCTAACGTTTAGGAAGGTTGAGAATTATGCATTTAATTTGATTGAAATAACTATTGGAAAATGTATCCTAGCTTGGTTTGGTTTCCTGAACTACCAAACCACTTGAGATTAATCCATTGTCCCATGCCATTTTCTGAAAATTAATTACGATCTGGTCTTAATTTCTGCTTAGTCATATGTGCTGCCTATCTGTAACTGAAGGATGGATGTTCTCAGCCTTCAGGTCCCCTTCAAAGGAAGCATGTCTAAGTAATTAGGGCACCAGATCAGGATTGATGGATATGAAATCTGCTCCTGGCTTTGTCACTGTTTTAAAACATTCACTTTTCTCCTGCAGTCTCAGTATTGATTCTCTTTTCTCACATTGTTAATTATCTGCTGTCAGCTTTCCAGTTGCAGTATGCTCAGCTACACTTGTCTGCTTATCCCAGTATATTTTGTAGGCCAGTGGTACAGACATTTTTGGTGTTTTACTGTAAATTTTTGGTATTTGTTCATTCTGGAGTTCATAGGTTTTGAACATTCATAGTAGGCAGACTGATTTAGGCATGCATAGTGGCTGAGTTTAGATGTTTGTGAGCTTTCTGAATGACTCTGAAAGTCTTTATGGAATCAGAATAACCCATAACCCAAAATCTGCTCATATCCTGATATTTTTAGTTGCTGAATAAAATAAATAAATATCCTTCCTTCTGAGACTGCTTTCTATCAGTGGATTTCAAACTACTTTAGAAACCAAACTGATAATTAGTAATATAATCTGTGAGTTAGAGAAATTTTATTTTCATATTGTGTTTGAGAAAATAGGCACAGAGATATGAAGTGCTTTTCCAGCATCTGGCACAAGTCAGCTTAAGCCCAGGATTGAATGCAGATGTGCCAAATGTCCCAGGCCCATGTTTTAGTCATCAGGTTACTCTTCCAACACTTAGAACTTCCAACACTGCTCTCTTGGCCTTTCAAAGAATTGTATGTTATATGAAAGAGGCCAGCATAATATACTGCAAAATCATTTAATCGTTGTTATTTTATGTGCAAATAATTAAAGTATTTCTGGTACACTGTAAACTTGTTGCTAGATCAGAACTATGAGTTGATTAAAATGCATTACTTGCAAATAGCAACAGTAATGCTTTTGATGGAAACTACTATTAATCTCTCTGGCTTTATTGATATTTATCCCCATATGGTTACTTTCAAGTATCTTCCTGTAGAGTACAAACCCTTTATAATGCTTATGAAGCTTTGAATGGATCCCACCAGTCTAATGAGGCTTGGCTTTTAATAAATTAGCTCATTTCCAAGCAAACATTGTAATCACCAGGGAGTTTCTGGCACCCTCCCACATAAGGCAGTGGTTCATACTGGTTGCTGCTAAGGATTGGTTGCTGATAGAGAAGAAACAGTGCTCTCATCCAACATTGCAAATGTTGAACTGACATTCCTGTTTGTTTGGAGGGGACTTGCCAAGGCAGAGGATGGAAGTGACAGGGGAATAAAAGGGACCAAACCAGGATGTCTGGCTGACAGCAGGCACAAATGTAATGCAGGAGCATCATGGAGAGGTGAACCAGGCCACTTTGAAACCCAGTCACATTGAGCTCACTGCCCTTTTGGGAAGGGATCATTAGCTGGTGTGCCTCCTAGCTAGAAGTAGCTGATGGAGGTGGTGAGTGGCAGGGGAGAGGAAGTGCAGCATTCAAAGAAAAACAATCTGTTTGGGAAGGACAGTAGAGTCAGAGCAAGGCATACTTGGTTTTGGCTTTCTTGGGGTTGGATGATGACTTTTATGTAACCAGAGGTTTCAGCACTGTCCTGAATATGTTTCCAGGTGACAGGTAAATTCCGTGGGGGAGTGAATCCTTTTACCCGAGGGTGCTGCGGAAACGTGGAACATGTGCTCTGCAGTCCCTTGGCTCCCAGGTAAGAGAAATGCTCTCAACTGGGAATGAGGGAGGTGGAGTAGTTGTTGGGACAGAGGAAGGAAATGTGCTTGGTTGGGCTCACAAGTGAAAAACCACTGATGAAATAACAGGGACTTAAAGCAAAACTCTCCTGAAGGCAGAGCTCTGTGATAGTTGCTTCACTGTTGCATGGCTATAACCTGTTCAAGCAGTTGCTTTCTTCACATAATTCATAACCCTAATCCCAGAAATGTTTATTGGAATGAGCATGTCAAATTATATCAAGAGCTGATACCCTTGTCTTCACCAACTTGTTTATCCAGTGGATTTCATTAACAAGGTAAGTTTCCATATGTTATCATATTCCCAGCATGACTTTTTACACTGTACAGTCAATGTCCAGGTATGCCAGTCTGCTGGAGAAAAGGAAGGAATCTAAAATCAGCCTTTCTCCTTAAGACTTAAATCCAATTTAAGGCTGCTGTGGTTTTCAATCTCACTGGCACTTTCATTATCATAAAACAGATTTTCAATGAGGTCTACCTCATGGAACTTGGGATTTTATTTATGGCTTTCTATTTTGGGGGAAATGGATTTATCGTTTCACATTTTGAAATCAGGATTTTAATGCAATAGATCAGATGGAGTATAAATATCCTAGGTGCTGAGCTGTCCAGCCTACAAACATGTTAATAATTGTACTATAATAAGACTTATTTGAGCCTTTTCAGGGTGTTGAGCAATTCCAGACCCTGACACTATTATCTGCCCTTTTTTTTTTTCCCCTTCACTATGCAACATATAAGTCCTAAAAGACTGTCACATGCGTTAAAGTGAAGGCACTAGAATAGCTGCTTCTAAAACTTACCAAAACATGAAAACCAGGTCAAGATACTTTAAGAGTCAGATATTAGCAGTTGGGAGACACTCCTGTTGAGAGGGTTGTGAGTATTATCGTGCTGGCTATTCTGACTTTCAGCAAGCAGAATGTTTGTATTTGGTGAAGACCTGTTCAAATTGTCCTGTATATTGAAAGTCACTGAGCCATCACTAGTAGAATGTCCTATTCACTGGATAAAACAGAGAAAGCTTGTGTGTGTATTGATATTTATGCATTGTACAGACACTGCCCAATGGCACTTACAGAATTCTAGTCCACTGGAAAGAAATCAGGTATCTAAAGTCAGCCATTTCCCTTTAGGTTTGTTGTTTCCTATAGACCTGTCTGTTTCTTTTACCTCCGTTTATTTGAACACTCTAAGTATGCTACAGACACAAGTCACCATGTGGTAAGCTAGAACTGACAGCATATCATCTTCTCCATGTTAACTCCCCACGTGCTGGGTCTTATTCCCCCAGTCACCGTCTTCCACTGCAGGGAAGCTGTTCCATGCTAACTAGGTAAGATCTAGTAAATCACTTCCATTGGTGGTAGGCCTCTCTTTCTTCATGTGAACTGTGCTCTTCTCCATCAGTGCTTCAAAGCTGCTTGGGCTTTTTAATGCATCCTCTCCTTTTGCTCACTAAAAAAAAAATTGATCTTTGTATTGCTTTTTAATTATTACATCCATTGAAATAAATTGAGTTTGCTGACATAGATTTTGACACATTCTTAAATCATACCCTGGAAGCAGGAAGATTTTCTTGTCTCTATGCCTTGTTCTTAGGTTATTGTTTATTTTAATGATGACTGTTGAACAATTAATCAGGTACGTAGTTGAGCCCAAGAAAAAGCAAGCTGTGAGTGTGAAGCCTCCTTTCCTCAGACCTGATTTATCTGAGCGACAGATCACAGTGAAGATCAGTGACAACGGGATCCAAGCCAACCTCAACCGGAGCAAGGTAAGGCAGCTTTCAAACACTGCTTCTGAAGAGCATGGATTGGATGTTATCAAGCCTGGGAATGAGTTTGTAATTGAAAATCTTATTGAGATGATGCATTTTTTTGAGAAAATGATAGAGATGGAGTCCTTGTTGTATACTTCATCATCTCAAAATAGCCCAGGTTCGGCAACAACAGCTCTTGGTCCAGTAACATCCATTTTTGCAGCTCTAGAAAAGAATGCCTCTGGGCATCTTTTGGAAGAGGTGGCTGTTCTTTGTGGTAGTTACTTTCTGTTCCAAGAGTGCCTCCTCTTGGTGTTCAAATTAATTTTAACAAACTTAACACTGTGGGAACCCTTGTACCACCAGGTCACTTGTTCTACTTCAAGGAAGGATTTTAGCTTCCAGACTGCAGGAAGGCTTGTGTTCCAGTGAAAGGAATATTGGCTCAGAAGATGAGTTCTCTTCTCTCCTCTTCTTTTTTCAGTTTCTCCTGGCCTGAATCGGAGAGAAGGATTTGTTTAGTCATATAAAAAGCAGTGGATTCAAAAGAAGCCTCCTTGCAAGATTTTTGTGGATAGTTACTTTGTTATACTCTTTGGAAAGTTACTTCTTGAGAGCTGCCTGGAAAGTTGCTGAAAAATGCTAGAAAATACCATTGTCTTCTACTACATATTAACTAGCATGACAATAATGTTATTTAGCATGCCAAGTAGACTAGGACAGTGCATTTAAAATTACACTGGTTTGTTATGACAATGCTAACTTTACACATGACAGTCTTTGTCTGAAGTGGATGCTAAATCATGTTTGTCATTATAAGTATAGGTAGTTCTTGTTCTGTGGTACATCCAGCACTCTTGACACATGCTGTTATTTAACCAAGTTGTGGGTAATGATTGATTCTTTGGTTGTTTTCAGTCTAAAATTAGCCTGGAAGGTCTGGAAGATAAAAGTATGGATGTGCAACCACCTCTCCCACCCAAAGGAGATCCAAGCAAGTACTCTGAGCTAAAAGGGCAGCTAGGGACCAGTGAAGGTATAGTTGCATGATCAGTGTTTTATTTTTTATTAGTAAGAAAATATTTCAGCCTCTTTAAAAGGCTTCTGGTATTCTTTCAAAACAGTAATGCGATCTGAGTGAAGGGATTTTTTTCTATTTATAAGAGTTCTGAGCTAGGGGAGTAAACAGCAGAAAAGAGAGAGAAAAGTCAGCTTGAATTGGTTCATTCAAGCCTAGGTTGAATATTTCATATCAGTTTTGTAGAGTTTTTAAACCCTTTTAAACCCCATCTTAAATTCTTGATCAATTTTAAAATGAAAAATTTCATTTTGAACTGAGGAATCAGAAATATTAGCATGAATTGCTTAGGCATTACAAACTGAATTATTTCATTTATGAAAATGTGAAATTAAAGCTTTGATACTATTAAAAAACATCTATTTTTTTCCTGACAAAACTAGTAGCAGAATTCAACCCAAATATCTGGTATTTCAAATTACTACTCACCAAAATATGTCACCCCACTTAATATATTATACATTATTTCTTCTTCTCTTTAGATTGCTGATCTGGCAGCAGTGTACTGTTACTTCCACAGGGGACCCATTGATTTTGGTGGAATTCTGCACAAAAGTACTGCAATTTTTATTCTTTCCAGAACAGATCTGTTTGCAGAGGACCATGGGTAGCAAGGAATTAGGAATAATAGCTTTCTGTCCACACATTTTAGTAGAAAGTCCTTTTTTGTTCTTCTATTTTACAGAAGGTGGCCTTTCACCCAAACTTATCAGTCCTCCTACACCTGCCATGTACAAGTATCGACCAGCTTTCAGCAACAATCCCAAAGTCCACTACCATGCTACAGCTGAGCAGGTGAGCGAGCCTGGGAGAAAAGAATCTGCTCCCAGCTAACACTGGGCAACATGGAGCTGAGGATAAATTCACTGCAGGGCTGTAGTGAATGTCAGAGTGTAAAAGTAAATAACAACACTTGCCACTGTTGTGCAATAGTGTATATTTTCACCATGCTCCTTATGAAAACATGTCTGCTTTCGCAGCTGTCCTCTGTTGAGCTTGACATGTCTGTCCTGCTGACAGGCATGGGCTGCTGCTTTACCAGCGTCTCAGCCTGATCCTGAGATGCTGAGAAGTGTCACCTCCCATTGGCTTCTCCTGCCATAGGTGCCAACTCACATTCACTTCAGAGGGAGCTGGGCATGCTTAGCGCTTTTCTGGATCAGATCTTTTAGCCAACAGACAAATGCTCAGTGATTCCTTAAGATGTCAGCTTGCAAAACAGAAAGAACTTTTAAAGCAGCCCAAGAGATATTTTAGTTAAAAGTAATGGAAGATTCCTCATGTTTGACCTTTCTTAGCACCTTCTCAGCATGTTTGGGTTATATGGGAAAAAAACCTTCCTAATATTTGGCATAATTTCTTCCTATCAAGAGAACTGAGGTCCAAACAATTAGAGACTTGCTCTGGAAATTTGACTGCTTTCTCTTTTGCTTAGGAGTTTTGAAACAGTTTACACTGTTCCCTTTGGAAGCAGAGTGCAAAACTAAGCCCACTGCTAATAAGCTTATTTTTCTCACTCATTTCTCATGGATTTGTGGATTTGTTGTAAATATTCCTTGTCCCCCCCAGGACTTGAGAACATCAGTTTGAAAATCACCAATCTAACTTGTATATTTGCAATATGTATCCAAGTCTTCACACACCAGTGGAGATACTTTTAAAACACACATACCACACACAATGCAGTTTTCTTACAGTTAATTTCATTGGGTCCTCCAGTGTCACCCCTGCAATAACAAGAAGGGGATGATGTAGGTAAAGAAAGGAAAACACAGTGGAGACATATAATTGACTGCAGCAACAGTGGAATAAGACAGAATGTTACTTAAATGGTGAAGAAAATTTTTCTAGTATCCTTCTCATTTTGAAAAGAAAGATGGTAATAGATGGTGAAATTCTAGCTATCACCAAGTTCAGGTTTTAGTCTTACTGCAATAATTGTAAATGTTATTATCTGAATTTGTCCACTTAATGAAGAAAAAATTGGGTTGTGAAAGGGAACATAAGAACAACACTGTGTTCACTGCATCCAAAAAGTGTAATCATCTTCACTTTATTACATGAAAAATGGCTTGACATCCAATTCAAAATATTCTATTTACAGGCATCAGCTAGCAACAGTATTTTGGGTCATGATGCCTAAAGTCAGAGCGCCATGGAAGGCAAGCTTGTTGTATTCATTCAGTACGTAGCCATAGATGCAGTATAGATACAGGATAGGTTCTGGTTAGGCTGGGAGACTGGGCAGTGCTATGAAATGATAACAGGGTACAGCATCTTCACTCTGAGAGTTGCTGTGTCAATCCTAACCTAAAAATATGTTACTATAGTCTGACTGGTGTGCATACAATCAGCTTTTTGGACTTGTTCAGTTTTAGAGTAGTCACAGCTTTCTAGTAGTCAAGTGGGAATATTATAAAAATTAGTTCACTTGGCAAGTTGATGGGATAGCACGTTTTTGTCTGCCAAACCACGTCTAAGTATAAGGTATGGAGGGAAAGAGACAAGCTGGTGTAAGGAATATCATGTTGTCTCATCTGTATCAGTTCTTCAGCCTGTCAATATAATTCTGCTTTTGAGCAGTGAAAGCTGTTAGGGGAGAGAGATCAGAGCACAGGGAAAAGTAGCACAAATATAAGCTACATCATTGTTCTTTCCTCCTCCTTTAGAGGCTTTCTCTTGGTCTCCTTTTTCCAGAGAAGGCCAAATTTAGCACCATGCTCTAGAAGACAGTGAGCTGTTCTGCATATTTCCGTATCTTCTAGCTCAAAGAAAAAAACTTCAAGAAAAACTCAGAATAGAACAGATTTTTACTGGTTAGGGTTTTTTGGATAATTTTCCTTTAAAATAAACTAGATACAGAACAAACTGCATTGACTGCATTTCTGATTAAATATGTGACTGATAATAATACTTTGTTTGCAGAGCCAGTGTATCCAATTTATTGTGCATTATGACAAACTCTTCCTTAAAAGTAACAGCAGAAATTATTTGCTCAGCACAGAATGGTATTTTAAGTGAACAGAACTGTAAGCAATCTGTCATAGAGTAAACTAAAGCAAAATCCTGTCTGTTTTCAATGCACATAAATAAATTATGGCCTATGTTTCCTTCTCTGATGTGGCCACTCTCTCCTACACAGGCAATAAAAAAGACGAAGTTGCTTCATTTTGTTGTCTAAATGGTGAGAAGGAGCCTCTCTTACTTAATTAAGCTTAGGTGCTTAATTGTGAAGACCTATGACCAGAAGTTCAGAATTACTGAATATTCATAGCTCTGAGTAAAGTGGATAACAGTGTGCTGGTCACCAGTGTGTTTAAATGAAGCCTAAAATATTTCTGACTTGGCATGCAATACCAGACATCTCTCAACTCAAGAGCTATTTGTAGAAAACTGGAAGTGCTTTTTCCAAGGGCATTATTATCAGATTACAATCTGATTTACCTCGACTGAGACTTGAGTCTCAGTTTAGAAGGTCTCATTCTGTGTTTTCAGTGTCCATGTATTGACAGATCTATTACCATCAATATTATTTAGCACTTATAAGTAACTCCTCCTTGTTTCTAAGGTGCTTACCTATATGCTGAACAGGAGTTAGGAGATTCTTTATAATGAACCTTTGTCATAGTTGGGCTGAGGGTCTGAGAGAAGACCTCCAGCTTGTTTCTTCCCGTGCACTCACCATAGAGAGCAAACCTGTACTTACATGTCATTGACTTCTGCTTCTCATATTCACCTCTGTTTTAGATCTCCATGCAGGAGGGACACAGTCAAGGGGCTCTGCTAGAAGAGGATGGCAGGAGCCTTGATTACCAGTCTGAACCCAGCTTGGACATCCCCAGCTACCGGAAGAGCTCCCTCCATAAGACCTATCAGTCTTCCCCACTCCAGATAGATTCTTTTGCCATCAATTCACGATCCCTGAGCCTGAAATCTGCTGGCAGGAGAGGGACAGACAAAGTGCCCCTTCATCCAATAAAGTCCGAAGGGGTGGCTTCCACCCCTTACAAAAGCATCTTTTCTCCCAATTCCCTGTCAAACAGAAATGGGAGTCTTTCATATGACAGTTTGCTAAACCCCATGTCGCCCTCGGGGAGGAAGTGCATCGCCCATTCTGCGGTCAGCTCAGTTGGGTACCACTCCCCGTATTTATCAGCCAAAATGTGCCACCTACGGGGGAGTGAGCTGCAACGCCAACCACCGCAGAGCTTCAGCCCAGTGCTGGGGGACCCAGCTCCACATCAGCGAGACCCCTCCCCAGTCCGCTATGATAACCTTTCCAAAACCATTATGGCATCGATCCAGGAGAGGAAAGAGATGGAAGAGAGGGAGAAGCTCCTCCACTCGCACCCTGATTCAGTATTTGCAGACTCAGGTGTCTACGACACCCCTAGCTCTTACAGCCTTCAGCAAGTCAGCACACTCTCTGAAGACCCACGCAGCATGGCAATGAGATATGGATCTAGAGACAATCTGATGGCTGCTACCAGTTTTAGCACAAGGAACCCTATACTGCAGTCCTCAGTGTCCTCACTCTCAAGTGCAATGACAAGAGCACCAAGGACTTCCACAACCTCTCTGCAAGCTGATTTAGCCAATAATAATGTCCAGTCCCATCAAACACTACAGGGCAGGGTGAGCAATGGCTCCTACAAATCCCCAGGCCACCAGGTCCCGTCATCCCCCACAGGGATGCCTAGGTCACCCTCTTATGGAGGCCCAAAGGCTGTCTCATTTGTAAACACTGTGGAAATTACAGAGGTGCAATCAGTGGGAGCACAAAGGTATGTACTGCTTTAGGTGCTGCTTAGCAATGTGAATCTGTTTGCAAGCAAGTGCAGAGCACCTGGCTGAAGGCATGACCCAGATTAAGTGTTTGCTGTAGGCCAGGCAGAGTGGGAGGTTTGTGGGTGCTCTCCCAATTCTGTGGCACCCTCATTGCAACCTCATCATGACAGAATGTTTGCACATTTGCTGTAACTTGAACTGCAGGCAATCACTTAACTTGTAAAAGTCATAGTGATTTAGTGTTTTAGGTGTATTAGATAATTATTTGCAAGATAAGAGGCAGATTATCCCTCCCATTGTGCACAGATGGGTGGAGCTGTTTTAGTTTGTGGCCTAAACGGAGGCTGGATCCAGCCGCTGCTTGGACATAGAGACAAAGCTGGCATCACAGCACGTGCAAGCATACCCTGCACTAAGGGAAACGGGCTGAGACCGGTCCTGGAAATTGTGCTTGGCATAGAGAGTTGTGTATTTTGCTGTATTGAGTGTCCCGTAGTACAGAACTGGTAATAAAAGCAGAGATCATCTTGGCATTGCCTTAGAGCTCTGCTGCTTCCTTCCTTTCTGTGAGAAAGCATGGGGAGAGGGAGGGTTTCCTGTGCTGAGAGCCTGAGTAAGTGGTATCTGAGCAAGATCTTTAGCTGCAGCTTGTGCAGACGCTTATCTTTCTTTCTCTTCCTTCTGAAGACTGTAGGGCTTGGAAAGTCTGAAAAGAGCTACATGATCCCACCAAGGGTGGAGTATTTCAGCCAAGTTGGGACCTGAAGGGCTCATCAAAAATATCTAGGTTTTTTCTTTGCATCTGGCACTTACTGCACTATGCTGTGCTCTGGTTAAGGTCCCAAGTTTCTCACTCCAGTACTATACAACATTTTGGGGAAAGTTACTGAAATGTGGGAGAGCCATTATTGTGGGTCTCCTGAAGTTTAGTGCCAGCAAGTTTTTCCCTCGATGTTTTCTAGTCAATTCTGGTTGTTAAGATGATTTATATACTGGTTGAAGATCTTCCTTTCAGGATGTAGCCAGCCATTTTTAACTCTTCATATGTGTTAAAAAAACGAGTCTGTTCCAGTGAAAGAAGACCTGTGAACTTTCTTTTGCCTCTCTGCCCCCTGTTTGAGACCCGGATGTGTCAGCTGCTGCTGTAGGAAAGATGATAATATATGAAAAGCTGTTTGCCTTTTCTTAGTTTCTGGTTCTTGGTTATGATGTCAGCCTGCTAGTCCCACTGCTTTTACACTGTGCTTGTTTAAAATGTAGAGCCTGTAAATTCACGTCAATTCAGCTCTTTGAAGTAATGAAAAACACAGTGTCTGGCAAAAGTGGTCTAGCTATTAAAATAGCTACAGATCCTATCAGATGCTAAAGAAATTCAGACATATGATACTGTTGCAGAGGATCTTTCTTACTGAAGTTCCTAAGGTCAAGTCAAATACCTAGATTAATAAATAAATAGCTTTATAAACATGAAGTTTTTTACCTAGTGATATGAACCTCCCACAGGTACTCTGTGCTTTGTAAATCTAGCACATTTTCTCTGTCAGTAGCACCACAAATTACTTTCCCTTCTCCCCTTTCCCCTAGCTCCTTGCTAGCTCCTTTCTGCCTTGTTTCAGGAGGCAGACTGTTCTTTGGGAGAATTTCAGCACTGAATTAGGGCTTTTATAATACTTCAGTAAGGCAAATGTAGAATTTGGTCCCTGTATATTTCAGTTGTTTAGGGATACAGCAGCATTTTACAAAACCACTCAATATTTTTTTTTATATTTATGTATGTGTGTTTTGCTGGTTCAGATAGCCACAATTTCATTCTCTAGTGCAAACACAGCTTAAACGTGTAGCAGAAGGTGGGCTGGAGTGAGCTGATGGTCCTGTTGCACCAGCGCCAGGGTACAGCTGTCAGACCAGGTTGCCACAGAAAAAGTGCATTTAGTTTTGGAGCTATTCTGAGCCTATCAAGAGCTGTGTAAAAGTCCAGGATAGCTTTGTTTGTTTTGCAGACACATAGAATCATAGAATGGTTTGTGTTGGAAGGGAACTTAAAGACCATCTAGTCCCAATCCCCCTGCCACAGGCAGGGACACCTTCCCCCAGACCAGGTTGCTTCAAGCCCCGTCCAACCTGGCCTTGAACCCTTCCAGGGAGGGGGCAGCCACAGCTGCTCTGGGCACCCTGGGCCAGCGCCTCACCCCCCGCACAGGGAAGAATTTCTTCCTTACATCTAATCTAAATCTCCCCTCTTCCAGTTTAAAACTGTTCCCCCTTGTCCTACCCCCACCCCCTGATCAAGAGTCCCTCCCCACCTTCCCTGTCCCCCCTTTAAGCCCTGGGAGGCCGCCCTCGGGTCTCCCCGGAGCCTTCTCTTCTCCAGGCTGAACCCCCCCAACTCTCTCAGCCCGGCCTCCCAGGGGAGCTGCTCCAGCCCCCCCAGCATCTTCGTGGTCTCCTCTGGCCCCACTCGAGCAGGTCTGTGTCCTTCTGCTGTTGGGGGCCCCAGAGCTGGACCCAGCACTGCAGGGGGGTCTCCCCAGAGCGGAGCAGAGGGGGAGAATCACCTCCTTCAACTTGCTACATGTAAAGAATGAAATTGCCTTTTGAATACAGTTAATCCATCAAACCTTCTGGCCTCCAGAAAAAGTCATAGTGGTCTGAAATAGCTCAGGCTGCCTCGGTTTGCGGGCCAGTCTTAAACTTCAGACTGAGGCAAACCCAAGCAGACATCTACTGTGTAGGAGTAAGATGCGAGAATACAGCACACCCCAGATGTGCTGGCACTTCCACAACACACACAGTTCTTTGGTAGGCTTTTATCTAATTACTTTTTGAGTCATGGGGACAAGGCAGATTAAGGTTTAGTGTGTAGTGGCCCAGATTTAAAAGATCTTTTGAGGAAAGCCTGTTGTCCATGCTCCTTGGCAGTAGATCGTAAGAAAGGAAATTATTTAAAAGAGCCCATCCAGAGTATGGTTTTTAATTACAGAATTACAGGCATCCTAGAGTGCTTCCTGACTTGATTCAGTTTGTGTCTTCTGTCACAAAGAAGTCTTGCACTTTACCTGTGTCTTTCAGAGATGGGCAACATAATTTTGTTTAACTGGATATTTAACTGGGAAGTGTTTTTTCTGAGTATTTTATTTCTGATTGTAAGACACAGTTTGGCTTAAGGTCAACAGTGGTGACAGTTAAACCCTCCTGCGACCTACAAATGCTTATGCAATTAGTTTAGTTCAACAAAACATTTAAGCAGATAACTAAGTGAACAAATACTACTGGGATCTGATCCACTAACCTAATGGCCAAATGAATTTTCTCTTTTCAGTGGCTTTTCATGAAGTATATTGGCTTCAACCAGGTTGCTCCCACGCTTGAATATTTTGCAACACTGCGACTCGGGGTAACAGGGATAATTGTTTATCCTGAATGAAACCATTCTGTTATCACACCGGTCACAACATTCCATCTTTTGATATTTCTTTTGATGCAGGGATGACATGCAGTTGAAGACACCTCACAGTAAAATAAATGGACAGCCAAAAGGAATATCCAGGTTGGGTTCAACATCAAGTTCCCAGGGGACACCTGTCAGCCCTGCTAGACACTCAAACGTTAAGAAGGTGTCTGGAGTTGGTGGAACAACCTACGAAATTTCAGTGTAAAATAAAATTAATTAACAATAAAGAGCCATCCACTCAGCCAGCCATGAAGCTAGGAGCACTGTGAAGACTCAAATAACAACAAAGAAGGAGCAGCAACAGCTGGCCACTCTCCTTTTCTTGTTTTGGGTTTGTTCTGTTTTCATCATTTCATCTTTCTCTTTTGGCCAAAAACCAGCTGCAGCCTTATTCTCGAGAGAATAAAATTGTACAGTCCATCAGACTCTTCCTGAACTGACAGGCGGGAACTGGCTATGACCTAACACCACAACCACAGAATGGATTTCTTTCATGCAAGAGAGCGCTAAAGCCATTGTGCGTGTGTCTGTCCAACAAACCTGTTGTGTACCAGTTGTGCTGTGAAAAAGGTATGGTCAGTCCAGGATCATGCAGTTTTTCCCATGACCCTGCCCAGTTCTTCTGGCCAGCAATGTGTCCAGCAGGAGTCAGAGGCCCAACTGCTGTTTTCCTACCGACATGGAAAGCAGGCTTCCTACTCTGGGTATCTGGATGTGCAAGAACTGCTTTGTGGCCCCCAGACACTGTGGGTTGGGTTCCTCCTCCTGGGAAGAAGCAAGGCAAGGGCACTTAGGCCACGAACGCTATGTCGTCTTTAAAAGCCTCCCTGGTCTCCGATGGGAGCAGGAGAAAGGAGAGCAACAGCTTCTCACTGTCTGCCATTCGCCTCCCTGCGTGTGAAATTGTGCGTGTGTGTGTGTGTGTGTGTGCGCGCATATTCGTCTCTCGTGGAAAAGGACCACAACACCAGTAATGATCTTCCACTCTGACTTCTTGCTCCCTCTGGTTTTTAAAGGCTTCTCTGACTCAGAAACAAAATCAAGCCAATAAGAAAGGAAATGTTTGGATGGGAACATATTTTAAACAGCTGTCAGCTGCTTTCTCTGCACCCTCCTTATTACCTGTTGGATTTAGGCAATAACATGGTTTACTGCCTTGCCCTGGTGCCATCTGTGTAATCCTGCAGCAAGGTTATCGTGATCTGTTGAATTTACAATGTGTGTAACTGAGCCAAGCATACATCTAAAGGATATAAATTTTCTGTCTGCCTAATTACTAGCACATTCCCTCTGGTCTTCAATACTGTTAGACAAAGGATTTTCCATTTGGGTTTTTTCCCCCTGGGGAACAACTTTTTAAAATAATGTCAATCAAATCTATTTAACATTCTGAGGTTGCCTTTTCCTGTCTCCAGAAAACTACATTTACTTTGTTGGATTTAAAGACAACTTTACTATAAAAAACAAGAAAGGGGTGCATTACTTTTGTCACAAATATGAGGACTCTGGCAAAGCTAATTTTGGGACAAATGGAATTTTTTGTTTATTTTCTCCATTCCTTATCTTGTTTTCCTTCCCATTCACTTACCACCTCAGAACACAAAAGTACTGAGATCTGGACCAATGCTAACTAGCCAGATCATGTCTTCAATTAAGAATATCCTGAGTGACTTGCCAAAGTCACTAAAAATTATTATTTATCACTGAGCCAGTCAGCAAACGAAACCTCAACTTTCCACCTGGTTATTCTGGTGAATAGTTTTGACTAGAGAGGTGAATTAATAATTTTTCAAGGTATTTGTTTTAAAGGATTGAATCCTTTTCAGTCCTTTACTATAATGGAGAGCTCTCCAGGTATTTGGTAGCAATTCAGAATGTGTTGATAACATCCTACTTGTTTCCATGTATGTTGAGATTAATTATTCCAGAAGGCAAATATTGACATCCATTTTGCCTGGTTAAAATTTATGTTTTGATTTGGTAAATCTTGACATCTGCTGAAATATATGCTTATTATGTCCCCTGTATATCACATCATTTGTTGGAGAAGAAGGTTGAAGAGAACATAAGAAAGTTAATCATCTCTCTATGTAATGCTCTATCTATGTTGCCTGAAGGGAGAAACCTGGAAAGCAATGAAGCTGTGATATCGGCCAAAGTTATGAGAGAGTGAACTAGAAATCAGTATGCATTATATTGCCTTGGTGATGTTTTAAATGCCTGCTCTAGGGACACTGCAGAGCAGAGAAGCAATAGTCTTTCTATGCAGATTTGCTCACTGGCATGTAGAGTAGTTGGAGGCACCGTGGTACCAGAAAGATGCTGGCAAACTGGACCAGGTACAGAAGGAGCAATATATATTAAAAGACAGGACAGGCTGGCTGATGAGGAAATTTAAAGGGCTAAAAACATGTCACTGGCTAAGCAATGAAGTGGAAATTGAGTATCATAATTTTACAAATACATTAGTTAAAAGATGTAAAACCAAAGGTAAATCAAAGGGTTGTCACTGGTAACCAATGGTCTACATTTAGAAGGAGGCAGAAAAGATGGAGGGGAAGGAGCAGTGGAATAGTCTTCCAAGTCAGAGTATTGGAGACTAACTATTTAGAACTGTCAAACTATATTAGGACAAGTCATTCAAAAAATTTCTGTAGGAGGTGAACCTGCAGGGGCAAGGGGCTAGACCAGATGGCCTTATAGATTTCTTCCATCTTTAACTGTTATTAATCTGCAACTCTACCATGATGTAAACTCCTCAGGAAGATGCAGTACTTCCTCAAGGACTGGAATTCACTCTGGTGCATAGAGTATCACAAGACTTACTTGTTTTTAAAGTACCATGTATGCCATATGTAAGCCCTGAAAAAGAGGGGTATGTGACACACTGAATTTGGGCTAGGGAACTAGACAAGGGCACATTTTACCATGTATCTTTGAATACGTACATGAAATTCATGCAGGCAAGGCTGAAATTTTGCACCAATGTAATATTTGAGATTTGCATCCCAGTGATGCTCCACTTTGATTGTTCTTTCTCCTGCATTTATAAACAAAAAACCTACTGAGGAACTTGAAGGGCCAAAGAGCCTTTGAAGTTAACTACATTAGTTCATGAGAGAATTTCTCAGTAAGACTAAACACAGTATTGTGTGTATAAAGCACTAATATCCAGGGTTATTTTGACGTAGTTCACAAGGGGTAAGGGAGGAAAGAATGAATGTGCTGTATCATTACAGATTTAGATGTAAGGATTATATATTTTGTGAGTAGTTGTTGCCCACAGTTGAGAGACATTCGACTTTTTAATAGGTTTACAATGGTACCAAAGTATTTTTTTTTTTTCCTTTTGAGGTTTGCATATAATTCAGTGCACATAGCCTGGAGTAAATTATTCAAATCCTCTGAAAGAATATTCTAAGCAGAACAGTTAACAGGAGATTGCATGCAGCAAATCCAGCCTCATTTCCATCCCAGGCACTGAACCTGCAGCTTTTTTCTCATAAATGTAAGTGTCTGTTTTCATAGCTCCTGTTGTGGGACTGGGGACCTACTTATTAAGTCTAATTTTGGAGCAGAATCCAGCCAATATTAAAGTATAGTTCTTCAAGCAGTTTACAGATTAGTAGTAAGGTTCTTCTGCCCAGATAGTCTCAGTTTTTACAGACACTTCAGGCCAAATCTTCAGCTGGTGTAAATTGGTGTGGCTCCATCAAAGCTCATCTAAGTGATGCTAATTTACAGTAGGTGGGGATCAGCCATGAAAATCTAGCACAAATTATTGGATCTTGTAAAGTAGCTTCTTTATTCTTGTCATGTTTATTTCATGTTTCAGAAGTCTTAAATCTTCTCAACATGTTTTTATTTTTAGCTGTGGATTGTATTACTTATTTAAAAAACAGCAATAGTTTTTGTTTATTTTATGCATCAATTTTCATTGCATATTTGCATTTTATTAGCCGTTTGTTCCCTGTTCATACACTCCCATTTAGCCTCTAGGTTTTCATTGTAGTACAATCTGCCTTGAGAAGTTGGATCTCTGTATCTTTAATTGTATCATATGTTGAGTATTATGAAATTAAATGTATCTTACTACATGGGTGGGAGAGAAAGGAAATATTTTTACTTGAAGCCTTAATATTTTCTTTTTTTACTACTTTATCTGTTGACCTCATAGGAAAGTCTGAATAGCAAAGACTTTGAAACTCTGGGCCAAATACTGCACTGATACACAACCAGCATTTGGCCCCTTATGTCAAAACTGGATACAGACATAACCTGAACAAGGGAAAAAGGCTCAGGGTGGCATATTTTCCTGAACATCATTAATGCAGTCTCAAAATGTGTCTGTAAGCAAGTACATTAAAGAAATCTTCAAGTCTTGAATTTTTAAGAAAGGTGATAGCAGGAACTGCCCTAATATCTTACATTTGCATTTTCTTTTTAAATTAAACAAAACAAGTGTAATTACTTAGTTTGGTTAAAGTTAGCTCTAAGGGTTGCACAGAGCTATGTGTTGGTAGCCATGTGCATCAAATGAACTGTGTTGTGTTGCTGTTCTAAATTGCTAACGAAGCATAATGTTATGTCAACTTGGCCTAAGATAATCACCTCATGGGTGTTATAATGGTTGTTCTTCAGATGATGCCTATTCTCCTACAAGCCTATTGTGGAAATTGCAATGTGGTTTTCTTTGGACTATATCTGTGGTCCAGACTAGAAATATAGATAGATAGATATATATATAGATAGAGATATATATATTCAATTTTTTTTTTTTTTTGGTGTGGGAAAGATGGGGTCAAGGTTGCTGTCTCTGACAGTCTGGAAAGTTGATGTCAAACCGTTTTTATGGTCTGTATTTCACCTGTTCTGCCACCTTGAATTGTTGGAATGTATCCGTGCAGGCTTTGTGGAGCTCTGTCTGTAACCTTTTTTGTGGCTCTCGTAATACATATATATTTTTTAAACCTTTGAGTCACTTCAGTATTTTCAAGTGTCTGATTTTCCCCAATGAGTTACGCCTCAGATGCATTCATTTGCTGAGATGGTTCAGGTGTGCTGCCCATTTTTACTTCTACTTGTGCAAAACGTGAACTGAAACAGTAGAACTGGAAAGGCCAGTTCCAGTGCAAAATCTGCAGGTGACAAAATGTTAAAAGAAGTGATTGCAGGTTAAGTTGTACTTTCAAGGTGCTTATGGTAAAGTAGAAAATATGCCAAGTCTCTAAAAGAGCGTTTCCTGGTTGTGGCCAACATGGATCATGCCTATGAGGCCACAGTAAGTGGTCCATGAAACAACACTAAATGAAGTTTTCTGTACTGCTTTTTATTAAAGTTGAGAGGTTAATAGGGATCCTGTGGTCTGGCACAATTATGACTCATTGCTACAGAGTAACTGTGGAAAAATGTTATATTGGTATTTGTTGAAATGTTCTATCCAGGGTATTGGGACTTATACATCCCAAAGATGTGCAATTTTTAATCTATCTTCATCTATCTATCCATTTCTAGTCTTTGAATATATGTCTGTTTGATCTGTAAGACTGGCTTGTAACACATACAGTTGCCAAGCCCTCCTAACAGCAGCTGCTGCAGGATTTCTGATGCCATAATTTGCATATATAGGCTAATTGCATTAAGCAAGAACCCATTCAAGCACATTCATTGTAAATGCCAGGCATATTTGTGTGCTGTCATGTCTTCACATGGCAGAGATTCCCTTATATATAAAATGGCCAAAAACATAATTACCAGGCTCCATTGATGTTGGCTGCATCAAACAGAATTATATAAGCTCCTGATCTGTTTTAGTACATTTTATTTAAAGACATCTTGGCTTACAGCGATCTTGGCTTTCCTTTCTTTAAGTAATGGATAAATTATCCAACTGTGTATTAATTTCTCCATTATTGTTATTTTTTATTCTGCAGGACAAGTTTCAGTTCACATTTTGGAACATAATAAGGAGAGACAAAAGAAACTATTTATACAGGTGAATGTGTCTTTTAAGAGAGGAATAGTTACATAATAAATAGATTAGAATTACTGTCAAAATAGGTTTTGTTCATCTTGTCACAATAACTTGAATTTTAAAGTAAGGCTTATTTCACAGCTGATATCTCTGTAACCCTGAAACATTTTAAAAATGTCTTGGTTAGACATTTCAGATTATATGAAGAAAGATGATCTACTTTTACAGATTAAAAACAGTCCTAGAGAAGTGATGGTACATTTTACAGTGCCTTATATATATGTGTATATATATATGTATATATATAATGCCTATATGTATATAATGTATACATAACTGTGTACATATATTCAAGTAAAACTAGTTACAGGTGTCCCTATCTGATGTACTTTAAATGGAACTGATCTGTGTTGATAGAAAAAAAAAAATAATAATGGTTGTATCAGCAGCAAAATACAAAACCAAAAATACTTACTAAAATGTAAGCAAATAAAATAGACTGGAAACAGCATTTCTGCCAGTGGTTATGTTCCAGGCCATGGAAGACTGGTAGGTAGAAAAACCATCTTAAGGGGGATTCAGAGGCAAGGGAAAGCAGTGATGGAAGCTTGGAAAATGTGGAGAATATGTAAAAGCACGAGGGATGCCTGAGAGCACCCCAGTGCTCCGACCTATAAATGAGAGGTGCAGGAGGAGGGGACGGGTTGTCCTTCAGAGGAAGCTGAGATCTTAGACGAATCATCAGAAATCTCAAACAAGTGCCATGACAAAACTGGTTCTTGGCCATGACAAGAAGAATCTTTCAACCCCGCTGGCCTTGACAGTATTTCACTAATTCTTTCAAACAGGCAAACTGATTCCTTCCCCCAAGTGTTGCTTCTTTTTTTCTTCCAACAGGGGTGTATGACTCATGTCTCTAGCTAGATATGGAAGAGGGACTTTAGCAAAGCTTCAGACAGTGGATCTTTGCTCGAGAGAGAGAAGTGGCTTCTGTGGAAGAGACTCATCTCCTGACTGTAAGGAATATTATTCATGATTCCTTTCCCTTAGAAATTATTTCATGCTATGTTGCCATCCTATCCACCTTTTACACATGCATCCCTTGTGTGGATTTTTCATATAGTAATTTTGCCATTTATTTGCAAGGAATATAAAGCACTGACATAGCTTATCCATATGGTATTAGATCTATAGTATGTCTGGCCCGAGATGGACAGCATACAAGGCTATGTGAGCACTGTGGGCAATGCTGAGGTTTACCAATATTTCATTTTCTCTCTATACACTCTTCATTAATCAAAATAATTTCTGCATTTTTGGGCATAGGCCAGTTTGATCAGACTATGTGGCAGAAGTGCACAGCATAACTTATGCAACAGATTCTGCCAGTTCATGAGATTTTCTAAGAGGTCAGTTGCATTTTAGAATAATAGAGGTACCATGGATAAGTCTTGTTTGTTTGTTTGTTTTAAATAGCCCCTTTCTGAATTAAAACAATTTTACAAATATAAGTCATTCAAACCCCTTCCTTTCAGCAGACTGTGAAGTATCTGCCATGTAAACACCATGGGGGCCATATCCTACCTCCTAAAGTTTATTTCACACCTTTAAACTGCTAGCCTCCATGTGAGGCTTGTACTGTCCATCTATTTCTTTCATATGGGGTATGAACAGGATTTTCAAGGATGTATTTGAGCATTGTCTGTGTGTGTGAAACCCTCCCACTGAACTTAGTGGTAACGAAGAAATGATGGGGAGAATACATCTCATTAGCTGGCAATGCCTTTAAGGGAAAAAGTAGTCTTCCATACAAATTAATGGGGCCTCATTATACTCGACATGCCATTGGGAGTGGCACCCACAGAAATTGGCTCACTGCTATAGTTCACTGGCATTAAGACTTCTTCAAGCCTCTAACTTGGAGCAAATCAAATATTTGTCATCTTTTTTCCCATAACGGGACAAAGGGGAAGGTGGAATTCCATAAACACATTCCATTTTTGGACCCACTCTATTTTTAATGGAGCTTCTGTCCCTACTACAGAGAACTTGGATAAAAAGTCTTCATGTAGGCGTTTTTGAGTGGTAGGCAGCAAGGGGGGATTTGGGTTTACTAGTGAAGCAGCAACATGGTGCTTTTCTGCTTTCTGGCTTGTGCTTTCGGGCAGCGTGCAGGTAAGTGGCTCCTGGGCAGTGGTTTCTTCCTGCTTTCACTGCATCAGTGGACAGGCGGTAGGTGGCTCCCGTGTGTGCCAGTTGCAGAGCACACCTCCCTGCCATGGAGCACATGTGTTGAAAACCTCTTTCAGTTATGTAGGTGCAGAGCACATGGGGATTTTTGGATCAAAGATGACGTTGAAAGCTCATAAAATGGCATTATAATCTGGTTTTAGTCCAGGGCACAGGTGGTTTAGTGAAATACAGCTTTACTGTCAGCTTTGCTCTTGTACAGTCATTTGAACAGATGGTGTGTGGTTTTTTATAAATACAAACCAATACTACTTTTTCTTAGGAAAAACTCACCTTGTAGAAACTGCAGTGTCTGAGTAAATTCAGTGAGTAACAGCATGATCCTATTTTTGCAACCTGAATATTATGAATCCATCTGGCCTTGGGATCAGCCCTTATTTTCTTATTGACAGATATCTAAAATATAAGACTTAAAAACAGAGAAGTAGTTATAAATAGATGGTACTTGGTTATGACTAATTTTTCAGACATACTGACATAATGCAGACAAACTGCTCTGTTGTTGGCCACAATCATCTATATCAAAATGCACGTGCTTTGCACTGCTATCTTGTTGGCAGTTTCTCGGTGTTAAGCTGCGATTCGCAGTAAGAGGTGTACCAGTTAGATGTTCACCTGGAAATTCAGTCTGCACTTAAGGCCCAGGAATGGGCTTCAGGCATTTTGGCACGAGTTCCCGGCTCCACTACAAATTACTGCTGACTCGTACATCTTTCCATGTGTCTTCACTCCATGTCAGATGGGGTTGCGACTTCCTGACCTCACAGATGTGTTGTGAGAGGCTCAAACCCTATCATTTTGCAATCAGCTGTACAGCTGGAGCCAAGCGAATGCATGCCATAGGTATCCAGGAGCAATAGGGCAGATTCGGGGCATATTTACCATCAGATGAAAGCATCGCTCCAGGTCATGTTCTTGGGGAGGAAGTTTCTGGGTGTTTGTGTGACGGGTGTTGCTGACAGTAGTCTTGGTCTTTCACACTGACTTTGGAAAGCTGTTTTAGTAAATACATGAAAGACATTTTGGGCTTGATCCTTCTCTTGACCTCCTGCATATTTCTTTACAATCCAAACCCTCTGCATAATACCCACACAGCACAATCCTCATTCCAAGAGACCATATGCTTCATTGCCTTAAGCAATTCCGCTCTTCCTGCTTATTGGAATAGTTGTACATATATATAATAATAACTAAAATTACTGAGCAGAATTGCAGTAAAAGAAATAGCTGTAGGTTGGGAGAGAACTCAAAAAAGGAGGGACACTGCAATATGCTATCGCGGTGCAGAACACAGCGAGAGCTGAGTTTTGCAGCCATTGACATGTTGTGGGCTGCTAAGGAAATACAGCCTTTTACTTTTTTTCTTGAGAGCAAGGACTAAGCTGCTATGGTGCCCTGAGAAAACTGTTACTAATTTCTGTCTTTTGTGTCTGTTTTAATGTTGTACAGAAATACATATCTATCTACAATACTGTATTCATAGCACATTAATATTATCAAAGAAAGAATAATGTTGTCTATTAGTGCACAAAATAATTCCTTTTCTAGTATGGTCTTTTACTCAATACTCCATTTCTAATAAAGGAGCAGGAAAGAGCTATAAATTAATAATCATTGGGATTTTGAACACAGGATAGCACATCCTGCTTTAAGGGATAGGAGGATTAGGTGTGTGTATGTGTAAACAGAAGTTGCATGAGTTTATTTAACTGTAAATGCAAAATAAATATATTTATTCCCACTCATATTGAAGCACAGAATAGCTACATTTTGCAAAACCTGTAAAACATTCATAAGAAAATATATCATAGTAATTTACTGTATTTCTCCCTCATTTTTTACAGAATTTATAATGTCATTCTTTATGAGTTTTTTCATTTATTTTTGAAAATAATGTTTTTCTTGAATTATATGTACACAAATTCTAGAGATATCTATACAGACTCTCTTCCTATATATCTAAAGCCCTGGATGCTGCAGAATTGAATTTCAATACTGTGTCACAAATGATGGAGAGAGTCCTTTTTGGGTACAAGAGTCTTGGGTTGTGCTATCCTTGTTTTGTTTTGTCTTGTTTTTAATATATATATACCCACACAGATTGATCACCAGAAGGCATCTGAGCATCCTGCTGCTGGATGGAGTCATTACACAACCCCTGCACCCAGAAATGCTTTGCCTGCTTGAAGTGGAGAGCTGTGAAGTGTCTTTCTAGGTACAGTGTGCCTGTGCTCCCTCTTAGCTCAAACACTGGGCAGTTTTAAGAAGTGAGCTCTTCTGTGGTCTTTCTCTTCAGCGATCAGGATGTGTTACCTGCCACCCAGTGCGGGTGAGGCACAGACCTGAGCAACGGTGACATGGTTTGTGTTTGCAGCTGTGTCACTGACTTACTCTGTGACCTTGCAAAAGTCATGTCGTGCTTGGCAGCTGTTATTCCAGTATGACACAGAAACTGAGGTCCTCTGGATTTAAATTGCTAAGTGACTTGCAGTGTTGGGTCATGTGGCCATTCCTTGGGGCCAGATCTGAAATCTGTTGGCAATAGGGCATTGCTTGGTAGAAGCTGTATGATGACCATATGGGCACTATGCCTTGTGGCAGAGGTGTGGGACTTCAGAGGGCATTCTTACAGTCCCTAGCTCAGGACAAAGAGAAAACAGAGGTAATGAAAAGGGAAAACAAGTATCTTCTGACACGAAAGGGAATAGGCGGTGTCAAAAGAGAGCAAAGGGCAGTTGGGTTTATTGCTGGCAAGAAAAATTTTCTTCAGTTTCTATCAGCATGAAGGATTGATTGGCTAGGTTAGGCAGCACGATGTTAAGTACATAGAAGA